GGTGCAGTGCCTGCTGCTGCTGCTCATGTGGGAGCCGGAGTTTCAGCTTCTGCTCCTTGCACTGGCTGATGCCACCGCTGCAGATGAAGCAGCAGGGTGGAGGATGCCCATTCCTGGGCTTGTTACTCCCGGAATGCTATCCCTGCTCGTTCTGCCTTGAAATGACCCCTGGTTACCGATGCAATGAACATGAAATTGAGCAAATCCCAGAGGACGGCAGAAGACAGGAGGGCCTGGCATGATGTGGTCCATGGGGTCATGAAGAGTCAGACTCAACAGTGTGACTGAACAACAACAACAGAGTAGTATGAGAACAAGCCATAGTCTGCAATTCAAACAAAAGGGCAAACTATGGTTTGCTATAGGTGGGTAGCCATGTTGGTCTGAAGCAGCAGAATAAAGTTTGAGTCCAGTGACTCCTTTAAGACCAACAAAGATGTATCTGAAGAAGTGTGTGTGGACACAACAGCCTATACCTTGAATAAAACTTTATTGGCCTTAAAGATGCCACTGGGCAAACTTTATTCTGTGGTTTGCTATGAAATGGTTGCATTTCTAAATCAAGGATGAGAAAAGGGGGAGGCAGTGCTTGAAGTCTAAGGTTCTCCAGGACTCTCCATAGAATGACAAAAGTCAGTTCACGATTCCAGCTGAAATGTGCCAGTCTACACAAGCAGACTATGTAAAAAGGTGCATGGAATAACTCTAAAGGTGACACGTAGTGAGATTAATTGAGCATAACTACCAACTATGGAAAGGTATATTTTTTTCAGGTATCATAAAGGAAGTTGTTATTAAAATGGAATGATATGAAGAAAATTACTACATTTATTGTTTACTTTAAAGTGGGAATAAACATTTGAGATATTTATTTATTTTATTTTATTTATTTTTTAAATTTATATCCCACACCTCCCCACCGAGGCAGGCTCAGGGTGGCTGCAAAGGGAATGTAGATTAGGAACTGAAATAAGAAGTAAGTCAGAACATGTGTAAAGAACATTATAGTAAAATTATGAGGAAAATATCAACTAAGATATATCAACTAGCAAAAAATGGCCTGTATTTCACATGGTGTAGTGCCACAGCCCTGCCTTAATCAAAAGACCAGGTTGTGAACAGCCTGACTGGAGTCACAAACTCCAGTAGGAATCCCAACCCTCTCCAGGCTCCAGCATCCCACTTCAGAAAATATTAGGAGGGCCAAAAGAATAACAGGGATACCCTTCTGCAGACTCCCCCAGACAAACCAACACACAGGTAGGTCACCAAAATGGTTTATTTAGGGCAAAGTAGTACTAATATACAGTGCATCAAAACAAGAAACTAGTTTAGTCTCTAGCTAATTTACCTGGTATAATACAACTCTAGTTGGTTCCAGCAGTTCTTAACTACAAACCCCAACAATTGGTTCACAGCAGTCAAACAGGGAACACCTTCCCCAAGCTCAGTCCTTCCAGCAGAGTCAGGGTTTTTCCCAAAAGAAAAAGCACATCCCCTCTAGCATCCAGGAAACTTTAAGGTCCAACAACCAATTAAAGAAGGATTTCAATTTTAGCCCACTAAAGCTCTGACCACCGACACTAACTGCCAATTAGGCTTAACCAGGCTCACCTGAGCCCATCCCTAGACAGTGCCAAGTAACAACTAATAGCCTACAGGTGACCAACCTTCAGGCTCAAGAACCCAACCTTCGGCTCCTGCTAGGCAATAACTACATTTGCCAATTAAAGTAAAATGACCCTCAGTTACTACACAGGGTCAGCTGAGGTAAACAGAGCTACACAATTTATTTCATGGATGAATAAGAAAATTGGCTAATGACTGAAAAATATGAATGGTACAAACCAGCACTGATTAATGCAGTTTTATAGCTATACAAACACGGAAGAATTTATGCACACTTGCGGCAACATTTCTTCTCAACAACTATAATGAGAACACTCTACAAACTACTGAAGTATAGTGTGTTCTGTTGGATGCGGGAAATCCAGGTTCAATCCCCTGTTCAGCTATAAGGATAATGGCCAAATAGCTACCCTGCAGTCTAACCAATCTCACAGAGATTATGTGAGGATAAAGCCATTCTGGTTTCCTTTGAGGAATGTTTAATACAAATCTACTAAATAAAATAAGTGTTTTAACATTTATATGGTTGGATCCAATCTAGGCTTGCCAGGCCCCCACCAGGGGTGGGGCATCCCCTGCTCCAGGGCCCTTTCCCTTGGCACCAATCAGCTGACCAGTGGTAGATTTACTGACAGCAAAAGAAGGCCTAGGCCCGCATCACCAGCAACACAGTGATGTACCTTCTGGCACACATTGGAAGCTATGTCTTGATGTTGCCAGCAATGCAGGGATGCAAAAACTCCATAGTAAAAATGACTTCTACCATAGAGTCTTTGCCCAAATACCAGAGCATCCCCAAGTGGCTGGCAACTTCATGACGTCAATTTTGGTGTGTGCAAGAAGTGAATTCACTTCATTGCCATTGATACCAACCTAGATTTTGCTTTGCTCTCAGTAAGTCCTCCCACCCCCACTGTTGCCATGATATACCTGGCAACCAGGCCTGTAGCTACTGTGGGGCCCATGGGGCCTGCCCCCTAGTGGTTTTTATGGGTCTCCCTCCCGAAATCTCGGCTCCCCCTCTCCTCTGGGCCCCTTCACCCCAATTGCATGTTGGCTTGTCAGCGGGGAAGATAAGGGTGGCACAAGCAGTAGCAGCGGCAGCACAAAAAGCAGAGAGCAGCCCAGGCAAGCAGCAAGCATCTCGGGCTCCACCAGATGCTCGCTGCACTGCCTACCAGCAGCAGGAAAGCCATTCCAGGAAAGGAGGCAAGTGGCTGCTTCCTCTGGCCTCAGCCAGGTGCGCCTGACTGCGCTCTGGTACACCGAGCCCGCACACAGCACTTCCGTGGCCAGCCTGGCTGCTGCTTACCTTGTCTCTCCCAGCCCCAGGAGGGAGCCAAGGATGGCTGTCAGGCTGGTCATGGTGTAGCGCTGCAAGGGAAGGGGCACTGGGGCTCCTTGGGGAGGGAGGGAGGGATCCAGATGCTCCACAGTGAAGGTCTGCCCATGTGGGGGGGGAGCTGAGGGGCCCCTTGATTTAATTAGCCAGTGGGCCCTCCTGAGGCCCCCTCCCAAGAACATCCTTAGCGATGGGGCTGCTGGCAACTCTAATCCAGCCAAATGTTCCACTCCCAGTCCTCTCCATACTACAGTCCCTTTCCCACATGGCTTTTGTACATTCAGTTCCATGATCCCAAGCATAGCCTTTTTAGGTGGCCCTTTTTCATTTTTCCAACAAGAAAAGCTGGTTGGATCCAACCCATTTTTTCAAAAAGTTTCCAAAAATCAACGGCTGCTATCAATAGGCCATATTCAAAGTATCTTCAGGCTCTGATTCAAAGGATCTGAAACACACAGCTGCCTCTAGTTTGATTACAACTTGTTTAAAAGGTTGTAAGGTATATTTCAGTAGGCATAATGGGATGAAATTAAAACCTATATTGAACAAATATTATTTCAGAAGCTTATAAGACTAGATAATTCCCTTTGTTCAGAAAATGAAAAGATTTGTCTAAAAAACCCAAAAAACCTGTTGTCTGAGTTATGAAATGGGCCAGAAAATATACTAACAATAACTTCCTAGTTTATGCAGGAACATCTCATATGACGTTGGATTTTTGAAACAGTTAGCACTAGGTTAGATTAGATAATGACATTTTCTTTATTATGACTAAAATTACTACATGATAGCCAGATAGTTTGAAACTTCCATATCACATTCCTTAAATAAATTCTGTGAAAAGATAATCTGAATTTTTACTTAAATAAACTGGCAGGGCAACATAAGCAAAGAGGTCCCAATTGCACAGAAAGATGGGGAATAACATTAAATAAAAAAGTAAAGTAAGCTGAAGTAAAGTAAACCAATTGTAAAGTTGTCTCTTCAAATAATTTTAGAATTCTACATTTGTTATATCAAGAAAAAAGATTCTATGCATTTATATAAAGAGAATTATGGCAACCTGAATATTAATAGAAATTTCCAATTCTCCACAATGAAGTAACAAATTACAACTAAAGATGAAAGTAATTAAATGGGTCTCTTTCCTCTGTTTTAAAAATGAATTTAAGTTCAAGGCAACTGCAGTGACAAAATGGTGTCAGAGGAAAATGTATAATCTCTATTTTTCAATTATGCTTCAGTAGAAATTACAAAGTACCTCATAAGTGATTATTACTATATGGTAATCACAATGTTTTACTCATCTTAGCAGTGCAGCTAGTCCAACAAAGAAATAAGCAGTGAAAATGTCTCTATTATACCTGTAATGAACCTTCACGACATAATACAAGGTTATAATATTTGGGCATAGTCAGAAATCTGAAAATATGACAGCTACTTAATGCTAAGGATTATTAGTCTTTTATGTTAAAAAGTGGGTGCAGAAAGTACTTCTGATGCCAAATCATTCAGAACCTGGCATCACAACAGAAACTAAATTCCATACTTTGTGTCAAACCACAACTGAACACATCTTTCAATATAAATCTAGACTAGGTAAAAAAAAAAAGGTAAAGGTTCCCTTGCTCGAAAGCCAGTTGAATCCGACTCTAGGGTTGCGGTGCTCATCTCCGTTTCAAAGCCGAAGAGCCAGCGCTGTCCAAAGACATTTCCGTGGTCATGTGGCCGGCATGACTAAACACCAAGGTGCACGGAACGCTGTTACCTTCCCACTGGTACCTATTTATCTACTTGCAATATCTTGCTTTCAAACTGCTAGGTTGGCAGGAGCTGGAACTAGAGACGGGAGCTCACTCCGTCATGCAGCACACTCGGGTCTCAAACTGCCGAACTACCGACCTTCCACAGCCTGCAGTTCAGCATCTTAACCACTTGAGCCACCACAGCTAGACTAGGCACATGAATACTGAAATATGTTTCTGTGATGGAGATTTTTGGAACAAAAATGCAGATGTTCTAAACATACCTTGTCTTGGAAACTCATCAGACTCTCGGTGAACTAGGTCAGTAACTCGATTCCCATAGTGCATTCTGGTGTCGTGATCATAAGCTTTCAGTGTCTCAGTTGAACTATAGGACTTCTGAGTTGGTACTC